TAATATTCTTAATTCGACATTCATTGAGTTGTTACCACTAATTTGGCTGTTGAAAGTGATTGGTTTTTGGTTGATGAAGTGGACTTCCTTTACAGTTATTTCTGTTGAAAACTTTCGACTTGAGGAATAACAAAAATTCATAGACAAACGGATTTTTCTGCATTGTCATAAAGTAAAGTACAGTCGACGGAACAACTTTCTAGAGAAACCGTGTGCGAAACTATCACAACTAAAAAAGAGGACTGTTTAATCACAACTCCTACAGTTTTGGTCGACCCATCTAAAAGTTGCCGCTCTTCATGTGGAAGTTTGTGGTGATAAGAAATAATAAAATCCGGATGTCCAGATGCACCAGTTTCAATTTGCGAGGTATTATCTTCCATTCGTAGTGATTTCCAAATAGGAGTTTTCTTTGATTTTAACTTTTCCTCATTACCTTTCTGTGGGTACTTTCTAGTTATATTATAATTGTTGTATAATACTTCGATTTTTCTTTGTTGTGTGTTTTTAAAAACTTGGAATTATTTCCATTGAAGTAAAATTTTTGGGTAATTAAATCGGCATTATTTCACTTGAAAATTATAATTTGTGTCGATATGTTTTTGAATCATTTTCGGTATATTTGTGTGTTTCTACAAATAATTTTGCTATATAGTTTATTTATACTAATGTTTATTATATTTGTAAAAGATGATACATTTTGGTTAATTAAGTCCATTTTAAAGTTTTATAAATTCCAAAATAAAAACTAAAAATATTAGTAAATAGATCATATAATCAAAACTTATATTGTGTTGCATAAAATATAGTAAAAATTATTATTTTAATAAGAAAAAATATTATTATTGAGGTGGAAAATTTTAGTTTTTTCGTGATAGTTTTCTCGAACTTTAATTATTTTTCAACGAAGTTTTTATTGAATTAAAGGGAGTAATGTTTCATAAAAAACGTGTAAAAATGCTGGAAAATGTGATATGAAAATTCCTAAGATTTTAAAGCAAAAATCAGCAGTTTTTGTTCAAAAGTAATACAGAAATTTAAATAATAATCAAATTTATTTGTTTGTTATAGTTTCATTAAACTAAAAAATATAATAAAAAATAATTTAAAAAATAAATAAAATTAAATTAATTTTAGACCCGACTTGTTATAATTTTAATTATTAGTATTAAAATGTTTAATTATGTTAAATGTGTTTTTTAATTTTATTCTGCGAATTGTTTTATTTTTCATAACATATTTATTTTATGTTATTTATATTGTTCATAACTTCATTATGATCTTTTATTTATTTAATAATTTTTTTAGTTTATAATTAAACAAATAATTGAAATGAAACCAAACAAATAAATGTAGAATAAAATATCTTTAAGAGAAAGGACGGACAAGGGGACGAAGGACGGGAATATAGGCCGAAGGACGTCCTTTGTGGTTTAAGGACGTCCTCCCGCTATAAAGGACGTCCTCCTGTGTATATGGTGTCCTTTCTATTATTTTCGTGTCCGCGGCATTTTTTATTCATTATCGAAACTATTTAAC